AAAGTAGATTCCCTATCTCATGAATTGACGACCTAAATTCCGAAATACGTTTTCTATTTGAAAAAAATTATTTAAGTAGGATTTTAATATTGATCATCGTGCAGCCTAATATCAGGATATTTTAGTCACTACAGGATGCATACGTTTCAAAAAGCTTCTTTCTCTCCACCTGCAAAAAGCGAATGCCATAAAATTATGTCTTCAATATTTATGCTTAAAAAGGGCACTGTCCAGTTTTAAAGAAGACTTTCTACTTTACCGAATTATTTTGAACCCTACCGGCCGTTGCTTTTGCATGCGAACTTTCTAAACTAAAATATATTCTGTCTAAGAAAAATTACACATTTCCCCACACTTTGCGGAAGAGGTCACATAGGTGTCATAAAAAGTGGCAATTAATGTGGAGCAGATTGCATATTCTATAGGCAATATTAACACACTGTCTAAGCCAGTCTGCTGCTTGATACGGCATACTCCTGCTGGTTGTCGTCTTCTTCTTATATTACTGGGAATCCAAAAAAGTGGAAACAAATAACCTTTAGGTAGTACAGTGGATGCCTTACATGTCAGATTTCTCCCAGAAGGAGTAAAACACGGTGCCAAGGCTGACCACTGGCAGGTCAGTTTCTGGAACAGCATTTGCTGCATAATTTGGAATTCAGTTAAATAATAACAACCTACAACCTTCTCACTCAAAAGCTCGACGGAGAATATCGAATTACAGCTTTTTCTGTGCAGGAATAAAAGTTGATAACTAGCCGGATTTTTTGTTATGGTTCATTGTATGGAAAAGTTAACGGTGGGGCTAAGTCTATTATGTATGTCAGTTGGATAAAAAAAACCTTCAAACACCATCTGAATACTTGGCGGGTTTTTTACTTTTTTGATGCAGTCCAGAAAACGCCAAGTCAATCGAACTAATAAATATAAGAATGATTTCAGTTCTGGGTTCATGTTGTAATGAAAGAGGCGGGTCGAGCACAGGAATAGTTGCTGCCTTGGTTTAAACTTTCAGTCCCGAGCTGGACCCCATAACCAGAAAAACCGAAGAAACAGTGGTAAGTATCGGTTTTTTGAACTGCTAATCGATCTTTTACGGTATTTGTCATCCGAAAATGGATGATCAGCGCTTAACAAGAAGGGAAAATCGATATAGCAGATACTGTCAGAAGTCAAAGTCTCAACCCACCATGTACAATTTCTCGCCATCACTTATGTGAGGTAGCCCACTCGAGGTTTGACCTTCGTAGCTGAAGGTCAATTTTGGTATGATATACATGATTACATGATGTACGTGATTAGTTATTTGCCTTATGATCCTCCTAAGTCTCACAGGCGTTTGTCGACAGGCCAATGACCGAAGCCCAAGCTAAACTATGTGCCTGTTTTCCCTTAAGTGGTAATCATTGCCAAAAAACTTAGTGGCCCGAGTTAACACAATTCTCACAGTCTGTTATGTTTCGGGTTTGATCACTGTGTCACTGATCCATAGTATATTGTCGCCCACTGAGGTTGGGTAAAGAAAGTTCGTGAAGTATCTCTCGTAACTGCCGGGTCATCTTATTTCTCAAATCGAGTTCGCCTATTTTGCTGTTTTTTTACATGGGACTGCAGAGTGCCAGCATTTGACACGAAAAAATATCTTATTATCCAATGTTTCATATCATACAAGGTTATAAGAATGGCCTGAAAACACCTATTTCCCTCGAATTGTGGGTGACACTGTCCGAAAACAAGAGGATATATGATCGATATTTAGCTGCAGGATATTAAGACGACGTTTATATATGTCACTGATTAACATTTGAAGTCGAGATTAGCTCCAAGCCTTCGACGGTTGCCATACGACCTTCAGTCGATCCTTCGACCGGTAGATTGGATTGTGATAATATACACACCCGGAGGACGGACCACAACGTTTGAGTTAAGATCGGGGCCCAGAGATGGCTAGATCACTCCATCAACTCGGTTGCTTCATTAAACCTGTTCCATCCTCTAAGCCACACGTTTGGAAAGGTTATCTCGCGCAACACATCCACTGCTGTACTGGTTAATGATGAGTGTCGGCTAAGCGGAATGTGTCCCAGTTTGAAATCAAATGTTCTGCCTTTCTTATAAAAACAACAATTTAAATTTTCTGACCGAAATGAAAACTATCTGCACCTTCACACAGCCAGTAAACGCAAATTTCTGTTGCGCGCCGTTCACGAGAAGTTCATCATTGGTAGATGGTAAAAAACATCTTAAAACTTACATTGTGTCGTATCCGCAGACCAGAAGCGCAGAAATGCTGGCACGTTCAGTGATCATATCGTTATGGAACGATCATTTGTTGACCATGCTTACTAAGAAACATTTCACTTAAGCATTATATTATATAAACTCTGACGAAACAGAGGTTTTAACTTTAATCTAACATATAAAAATCCAGATCGATCTATGCAAATATCTCGCAAGTTTAGCCAAAAAACGAGTGCTCTCGCACTTGTAGGCCAAGATGAGTCGAAAGATTGAAGACATAGATAAAAAAGTTGAGCCGAACGAAAAAGTGGAGTACCACTTGCCAACCGCCTCACCCGAACCAACTAAAATGCGACCCAAACAACAGAAATGGGCTCTCTAATGTTTCCACATCGTATGCGTCGACCAACCAGCTGAAGTGATTTGAGAGGATAAAACGGCAAAAGTAGTTTAAGTAGCACCTCGTATGCCCCTAGTCCCAGCATTTTCTCCACGAAAACGGTAGGTATGGGAGTTTTGGAGGTGGGGTAATAGGGTAGACAATGAAGGAAAATTTTAGAAGTAAGTGGAAAGTGGAAAAATGCAGTTTCAAGTGTTTCCCGCGGGCGCTAGGAGTAAGTTGTTCTGCATGTAAATTGAAGGTGTACGCGGTGCTTCGCGCCGCGGACTATACTAATCTTACTCCAGAACGGTAACTCAGACCTTGGGTAAGTTGAAGTAGACGATCTCCTAACCACTATTTCTATTTTTCAGGAATTTCCAGAAACCTGCATCTGGATAATCGGTTTTTCCGCAATATGTTAAATGACAATACAGATGTAAATTAACAACATTTCTAAGTGGAATACAATAAAAATGCACAAAGCAGTTATTAAAGCATGTTCTACTGCCTATCCTAATTCCTCACCTATAATTCCCCTATAGCCACCGTTTCCATAGGTATATGAGGTACACTACTCAAGCTACTGTTGCCGAAATAACTAATGCATTATGGCTGGAAGTGACAGGCAGCTCCTTGTGGTATTTTTCTTTTGAATGTGCACAATCTAAGGGTAGGGTAAAGATAACAAGTACTGCACATCATTTGCGGTTGACAACTTTATGAAAGGAACATATTAACAGCGATAGCAAAGTAAAAGAGCGAGACAGAGAGAGAGAGAGAGCGTAGTGCGGACAAGGTAGGTAAAGAATGAAGCAAGGCGAACGGAGATTCCCACCGTTTTCCTATCAACGACACCTGTTTAAGCACTTTAAGCAGATGTGAAATTAAATGCCCCAGCATAGTTTAGATTGTAACCCGGTCACAAACGTAGTACGATTGTTGCTTGCAGAGTGTCATTTTACCAGGCTGCACATGCTCACCACGGAACATTACCAGAAGTAAATTCTTTTAAATCCATGCGCCTGAGGGGTAAGGTAAACAGCTGCAAAAGCTAAAGTTGTTCGCATGGTTAAAGTTTAATCGTAGTGCATCGTTTTTGCGTTAAAAAGCTCAAAGTTGTTGTTGTTGTTGTTGTTGTTGTTGTTGTTGTAGGGAACCATAGTGAGCACACGAAATAATACCGCATTGAAAAAATCGAATTTATCTCCGAGGAGGAATTTTTTTATCACTGCGTTAAGCAGGGAAATTATAAAATTTTAGTCGTTAGGAAGCAATGGGATGAGAGCACGCCGAACCAGACAACACAGGATTTGTAACTGCACCAACCTACCCTGTATCGTTCCGGTTCAATTTCCAGGAACTATCGTCATTAAAATATAAAATTATTGTTACTTATGGTGTGTCAGTAGAACAATAAGTTTAGAGTGGCTTAATCAGCGATAATTAGCTTACCTCATCGATGTGTTTTCCGCGAGTCTTTCGACGCTCACGCTCGCTGGCCTTACGTGCCTTCTCCTCCAAGATGCGGTCTCGGGTCGTGCGATACTCGAGTGCGAATTCCGCGATGATGCGACAAAAGTGGCCCACTGACATGTTTTCGGCCCTGGACTGGGTGAACCCGAGGTAGAGTAGGAGTTCCCTGAATCTAAAATAGAGCGATTTTCGTTGAGCCCGGGGAGACATGGGGAGAGGGGCGAGTAAGGTAGGAAAATAAAACATACCGTTTCATGGTCCGCCGTTTTACTATTTTCATCGCAATTATCCTATCCGCAGCATCGATTAGGAAGTCCGCCAACCTAAACAGGCCGTAAGAAACTTCCATATACTTTCAAAAGCACAAATATATTTGCAGCGCAGATAGAAAATAAATCTGTTCAATTTGCAAATTTTAACTTTGTAAAAGAGCAAAAAGCAGGAATCACAGAGATCCGAATGCGCTTGCGCAAAAGGCCTGATTGTGGAGTGCTATTTTGAGCAAAACATATTTTCTGATTGGCGGAATAAGCAGGCCAGTTAACAAAGAAAGAATGGAAATATAATCTGACTTGTGGTCTATGGTTCAGACCAGCACCAGTAGGTAGCCTTCAGATGTCTGCTGACTGTCCACCAGAAAATTAGGTGCATAAGTTGAGAAGAGATACATCTTAGCGGAGGTATCCAAAACATTCATCCTTAAATAAACCCTGTATTCATTTTGACTCTTAGAATTTCTCTAGTCTATGGATTGATGCAGTTAAGACCTACAGCTGTGCCTGTCATGCAGAAGCAGAAAAACCCAAAATTGCTAGTTCTTCAGCCACCATAAAGCGGCAGTTGAGCGGTTTAGAGTTGCTCTCGGAGAGC